TCATTATGTCTCCAAAATACAAGGAATAGGATTCAGGGTCTCAGAATCCGTACCGAGTAAATCAAAAGACATAAATCCATAAATAGGAGTTTGTTAAGAACTCAGGATTAAGATCATCCTATATATGACCATCGGTAGACTCAATTAGAATTTCTATACTTAACAGAAATTATTAGAAATTCATATTGTGTCTGTGTCCTTGTTCCACATAATCTTATTATGCGAAATACACTAATTTAATATCTCGCCATATTAACAGTGCGGATAACACCGTTCCATTCTAAATGGGAATGACATGTATTAATAATGTTTTAATTAAAGATTCTAAACTTTAATTAAATTCATCATGAACAATGTTTATGATTATTATCCTTAAACACTATCCTTTCATATATAACACTTATATACTATGTTTAAGGTTACATAAACAATCACGGAATTTTCATTTTGATATTCATTAAATATTCATAAATATATGCACATAAAATGATGAATAAACTCTTTTATTAATTAAATAATAAATATCCTATTACATCTTATGCTTCTAGGACACTATTCCCAACACGAATATCATATCAAAACTGAAATCCTCATGAGAATTCCAAGGTCAATACTGATTTTTGAATTTAATACTGACAAGAGTCAATATCACTTGTGGAAAAAAATCCATAACATTGGATCAAAATGAAAACTTCACTAGAGTTTCAAAGTCAAACTTTGATTTTAAGCTTCATATAGATAAACATCAATATAGTAACATGGAATCTATCCATCGAAGTGTTCTAGGAAAATGAAACGGACTCTAACGTTAAATTGTCAATTGTAACTATATCATGTATTAACAAGCATGATTTCTCATAGAATTTGAAGCTGTGCTCTGATACCAAAAACTGTCATGATCCCAAGGATAGGGCCGGGATTATTGAGGTTTAATTTAAAATTTAACTTAATTAAACTGGATTAATTAAATAAAATCCATGAGAATAAAATAAAATATACAAATAACAAAATAGATATTAAAATATATTGTTTTGTAGCCTTTCTTTTACAAACAATATTTAAAATAGTCCATAAAGTTTAAAATAATACAACTATGAGACAGTAGCGACCAAATACAATTTATATACAGAAATACAGTACAACTCAAAATTAAAAACTGCAAATTCACAATAAACTAACCACTTCGAGTCTCACACCTTCAATCGATTGACATCCACTTGCCATGCTATAAATCTAAACCGCTAACTCTAGCATGAGACTCGAAGTAAATGAAAGTACAGGCCCGAACAAATCAGTCGAAACCAAACAACCTTTTGACTGAAAGATAAATAAACTTAAATTCCAGATTATAGGTGATTAGTGCATAAAAATGCACCATAAAACTACTTTTGACTTATATAATATTAAAATATTTAAGTTTTAATCAAATAATTCCATTATTTTTATTCAGAATATTTTTAATTGGAATTTGTCTAGTTTTTGCTTAATTATTTGCATATGAAAAGCAGTGTAAAAAGCTACACAGAAAAAGCCATAAAAGAAATCCTCCAACTGAGCCATGCTTTTCAGCCGAGCTACACAAGCCGATCAGAGAGAGGGAGTGCTGCGCCAAGCCAGCTGAGCCGGTCAAGTTGCATCAGCACCGTGGGCCCCACAAGCTCTCCCACATTTCCTCACCTTTCCTCACGTACATCACCCGAACTGCCTAGCCACTAGAGCGTGTCCGATTCACACGCGATCTCCAGCGTGAATGGAACATTAGGGATTCTCGATCCTTACCGTTTTTACTACTGAATTTCCTTTATATAAATTTTCTCCTTTTTATTTTATTTGCAACAAAAATCTCAAAAACTTTTCTTTTTCATTAATTTACTTGTTATTTATTTTTCTCTAACGCTCTTATTCTGCTAATCTTTCTTGTTTATTTTGTTACCTTTCTGTAGATACGACCGCCCTTCTGTGCTACAATTGACCACTTGTGAACATCACTTTTGGACGTCAATCAACAGGCAACCAATAAGTAATTTAAGTAATTAAATTACTTACGACCAATGCAAGGCCAAACATCACCGTAGTGGCCCGTACGGGTTTTTGGTTCTACCCCCAAGGATACGATCTCCATATCCTGTCTAGGCTATCAGCGGGCTTACCAGTTCGCAAGATATCTCACCTTAAGAAATATTCATTAAAATTTTAAATCAGTCCATTATGAGATCAATATCAATGAAGAAGCTATTGTCTTAAAATAATTTTCTATATCAAACATGTTTTTATGTTTAAAAACATTTACATAGCACAAAACACTTTAAAAAAGGCTAAGAAAATGGGTAAGAATATCCTACCTCTTGGCCATTTAGTCTACGAATAACTTCACGTTGTTCAAATCTCTATTCCTGAAGCTCCACGGCTCACTCTGAACCTCAACGAATCCATTCGATTCGCCTCAATCTACGTGCACAGTACCGGTAGACTTTTTAACGGAGTGGAATTGGTACAAACGGAGGTCACCGTTGCGTTCAGCACGTCGAAACGAGTTAGGATATGGTCTTAGATCTTCGATCAGACGTCGAGAACCTCAAGAACTGAGACTCGCCGGAATCCAGCCACCGGTAGCGGCGAAGTTACTGGAGCATATTTCCGCGGTGGACTTGGGTTCTACTCCTCCTAAATCGACCCTTATTAGATCAATGGTGTAGTCAATTTCATAAAATTCTAAATCTAACTACACAAATCAGGACAGCCAACTTCAAAGATTTTTGGTGACTTGGTTCTCCATTCTTCGACTTTGGAATCTCAAAATTGGTTGATGGCTTTTATTACCCATGATCTTATGAGCATTTAGACACCAAAATCATGACGATCTAACGGTTGGATCATCAGAACCACCCTCCGCCCAAACGGCGACGACGGCGAGCTCCGATCTCCTGCAAACGACAGTGGATTTGGGCAGCTGAGGGTTGCTTCTTGCTCTACGTCATTCTCTGAGTCCAATGGCACTGGTGGTGTCAAAAATGGCCGCTAGAATAGTGGACAACAGAAAGTAGGCACGGCATGCGAAATGGGTGGCTCCGACGATGGTGCTCCAGTGAGAATCGATGGGTTAGATGACATGGGTTTTGTTCGTCTCATCAAGCTGAGTCCATAGGGACCGGAATCACCTTGATTGGATGTCGAACAGAGGAGATACCGCGATCAGAAATTTTGTTTGTTTTCAGAACTTCGACTGGCAATTGCGGCTTCGTTCGGAGGAGTTGGAGGGCCTGCACATGTCAACGTGCTCAGCTCGTCAAGAGCTTTCCGATGGTGTGGGCGGTGTCGCAAAATGACACCGGAATCTCATCAGTGGTAGGTGGCTGGCGTGGAGAGAGATAGAGAGTGAACTTGGGAAAGAGAGATAATTTGAGAAAAAGGAGAAAAAGAAAGAAAAAGAAAAGAAAAAAAGGGAAAAATAGATTTAGAATTTCTAGGCAAATTTGATCATTAGATTTCAACGTCAAACTTGAATAGAGTATGGAATAACCCATTATTTATATTCTAAAAAATTAGTTACCAACACTTAAAACTGTTCGAGGGATAACAGTGTCAATTTTAAAACAATCATTTTTAAAGGATTAAGGTCATTTACGTGATAATTATAACTGAGAATCTTTCACCAATCTCATATTAATTAACACTAACCACCGGATAAAATTATATAATCTCAATTAATTTAACTAGATGTTATAAATTTTTATTTATGTTTTACATTCTAAAATTAATACATGATTTTTAGGAATTAATGTAACAAGCGGCACAATTTTTTGATGAATATTCTTTTTTTATTTTTCATATTTTTCGTCATTGAAAATTAAAATAAAATAAAAACGACGGTAAAAAATTCTGAAATTTTGCAAAACCATCATTACATTTTTCTGAGCATTCCAGCAAAAAGTGGCCTCGAATTTTGAAAAAAGAAATTGTTGTCAAAAAGCACCCGACCCGTGTAGTGGGGCGCCCAGGAGCCAGGATAAGTCAAACATTAACATTTTTATTTATGTTTTATATTCTGAAATTAATACATCATTTTTAGGAATTAATGGAACAAGCGACATCATGTTTTAATGAATATTCTATTTTTTATGATTTTCTGTATTTTGTCTTTGAAAATTAAAATAAAATAAAAATGACGTCAAAAAGTTCTAAAATTTTGCAGACACGATTCATACATTTTTCTAAGCATGCCTGCAAAAACTAGCCTCGAATTATGAGAAGAGAAAAAGCTGTCAAGAAGCACCCAACTCGCTCAGTGGGGCACCCAAGGGAAAGGATGAGTCAAACATTAACATTTTTATTTAAGTTTTACATTCTAAAATTAATACATGATTTTTAGAAATTAATGCAACAAGTGGCACCATTTTTTTATGAATATTCTATTGTTTATGATTTTCTCTATTTTTTGTATTTCAAAACTAAAATAAAATAAAAACGATTCTGAAATTTTAGACACGATCCTTACATTTTTCCAAAACGAAGTGTCGTTTTGTCTAAAAAACGACGTGTTGTATTGACTTACAAAATGATATGTCATTTTGTTCTGATGTTTGCTTCCCATGAAAAAAATGACGTTTCGTTTTGCTTCAAATAAGAAACGACGTGTCGTTTTGGTTAATATCTAAACTGACGTGTCATTTTGGTTCCCATGTAATACGACGTGTCGTTTTCATTCCATCAAAAATGACATGTCATTTTTCTTCACATATAAAACGACGCGTCGTTTTCTTTTCCAATTAAAATGACATGTAGTTTTGCTTCCCATTAACGAACGACGTGTCGTTTTGTCTTCTAAAAAATGACATGTTGTTTTGTCTAAAAAATGACGTGTCATTTTGCTTCCCATGAAAAAACAACGTGTCCTTTTGTCTTCCAAAAAATGACGCGCCATTTTTCTACCAATGTAAAACGAAGTGTCGTTTTGTCTAAAAACTGACGTGTCATTTTGACAAAAAAGACAAAAAACTTTGACAAACGAAACGAAATGTCATTTTTATTAATGCGTTAAAACGATGTCATTTCAAAAAAATTCAAGAGCGAAACGATATGTCATTTTTCTACTGATGATAAAAACAACTTCGTTTTGACAAAACGACAAAAAATTCTATTTTTTATGATTTAATTTATTTTTCATCTTTAAAAAATAAAATCAAATAAAAACGACGTCAATACATTGTGAAATTTTGCAAATAAGATCCTTACATTTTTCTAAGCATACCTACAAAAATGGCCTCAAATTATTAAAAAAGAAAACATTGGGAAAAAGCCCCGGCCTGCGCAGTAGGTCGCCCAGTGGACGGGATAGGTCAAAACTTAAAATTTGTATTTATGTTTTACATTCTAAAATTAATACATGATTTTTATGAATTAATGCAATAAGCGACACCATTTTTGACCTTGAAAACTAAAATAAAATAAAAATGACGTCAAAAAGTTCTAAAATTTTGCATACACGATCCTTACATTTTTCTTTACATGTCTGCGAAAAATGGCCTCGACTTATGAAAAAAGAAAACACTGCCAAAAAGTGCGCGGCCCCCGCAGTAGGGCGCCCAGGAGTCCGAATGAGTCAAACACTAATATTTTTATTTATGTTTTACATTCTAAAATTAATACATGATTTTTAGGAATTAATGCAATAAGCGACACCATTTTTTAATGAATATTCTATTTTTTTTATGATTTTTCATATTTTTCAACTTTGAAAATTAAAATAAAATAAAAATGACGTCAAAAAGTTCTAAAATTTTGCAGACACGATTTATACATTTTTCTAAGCATGCCTGCAAAAACTGGCCTCGAATTATGAGAAGAGAAAAAGCTGTCAAGAAGCACCCAACTCGCTCAGTTGGGCACCCAAGGGAAAGGATGAGTCAAACATTAACATTTTTATTTAAGTTTTACATTCTAAAATTAATACATGATTTTTAGGAATTAATGCAACAAGCGGCACCATTTTTTTATGAATATTCTATTGTTTATGATTTTCCCTATTTTTTGTATTTCAAAACTAAAATAAAATAAAAACGAGTCTGCAATTTTAGACACGATCCTTACATTTTTCTAAAACGAAGTGTCGTTTTGTCTAAAAAATGACGTGTTGTATTGACTTACAAAATGATATGTCATTTTGTTCTCATGTTTGCTTCCCATGAAAAAATGACGTTTCGTTTTGCTTCAAATAAGAAACGACGTGTCGTTTTGGTTAATATCTAAACTGACGTGTCATTTTGGTTCCCACGTAATACGACGTGTCGTTTTCGTTCCATCAGAAATGACATGTCGTTTTTCTTCACATATAAAACGACGCGTCGTTTTCTTTTCCAATTAAAATGACATGTCGTTTTGCTTCCCATGAACGAACAACGTGTCGCTTTGTCTTCTAAAAAATGACATGTTATTTTGTCTAAAAAAATGACGTGTCATTTTGCTTCCCATGAAAAAACAACGTGTCCTTTTGTCCTCCAAAAAATGACGTGCCATTTTTCTTCCAATGTAAAACGAAGTGTCGTTTTGTCTAAAAACTGACGTGTCATTTTGACAAAAAAGACAAAAAACTTTGACAAACGAAACGAAATGTCATTTTTATTGATGCGTTAAAACGATGTCATTTCAAAAAATTCAAGAGTGAAACGATATGTCATTTTTCTACTGATGATAAAAACAACTTCGTTTTGACAAACTGACAAAAAATTCTATTTTTTATGATTTTCTTTATTTTTCATCTTTAAAAAATAAAATCAAATAAAAACGACGTCAATACATTGTGAAATTTTGCAAATAAGATCCTTACATTTTTCTAAGCATACCTACAAAAATGGCCTCAAATTATTAAAAAAGAAAACGCTGCGAAAAAGCCCCGGCCTGCGCAGTAGGTCGCCCTGTGGACGGGATGGGTTAAAACTTAAAATTTGTATTTATGTTTTACATTCTAAAATTAATACATGATTTTTATGAATTAATGCAATAAGCGGCACCATTTTTGACCTTGAAAACTAAAATAAAATAAAAACGACGTCAAAAAGTTCTAAAATTTTACATGCACGATCCTTACATTTTTCTGTATATGCTTGCAAAAAATGGCCTCAACTTATGAAAAAAAGAAAACACTGCCAAAAAGTGTCTAGCCCCGTGGGGGGCCCAGGAGTCCGGATGACTCAAACATTAATATTTTTATTTATGTTTTACATTCTAAAATTAATACATGATTTTTAAGAATTAATGCAATAACCGACACCATTTTTTGATGAATATTCTATTTTTTATGATTTTTTGTATTTTTCAACTTCGAAAATTAAAATAAAATAAAAACAACGTCAAAAAGTTCAGAAAGATCCTAGCCACCGTGCGCCCCACTGCCCGGGCCAAAGGCTTTTTGACAAAGTTTTTCTTTTTACATTTTTTTAGGCCATTTTTATAGGCAGCTCAAAAAAATTTACGGATCATGTCTACAAAATTTTAGAATTTTCTCACGTCATTTTTATTTTGTTTTATTTTTTAAAGATGAAAAATAGAGAAAATCATAAAAAATAAAGTTCTCATCAAAAAATTGTGCCGCTTGTTACATTAATTCCTAAAAATCGTGTATTAATGTGCGAATGCAAAAATTTAATAAAATTATGAAATTTTTACCCATCCCGGCCCCTAGGCGCCTCACTTCGCGGGCGGGATGCTTTTTGGTAGCTTTTTTTTTTCATTTTTTGAGGGCATTGTTTGTAGGCATGCTCAGAAAAATGTAAGCATTTTCTGACGTCGTTTTTATTTTATTTTATTTTTTAAAGATGAAAAATAGAGAAAATATAAAAAATAGAATATTCATCAAAAAATGGTGTTGCTTGTTGAATTAATTCTAAAAAATTGTGTATTACTTTTAGAATGCAAAAAATTAATAATAATTTGAATTTTTGACCCATTCCGGCCCCTGAAGCCATTGCGCAGGCCAGATGCTTTTTTACAGCGTTTTTTTTTCTTTTTTTGAGGCTATTTTTTGCAGGCATGCTCAAAAAAATGTAAGGATCGTGTCTGGAAAATTTTAGAATGTTCTGACGTCGTTTTATGTTTTTTTATTTTTCAATGACGAAAAATACAGAAAATCATAAAAAATAGAATATTCATAAAAAATTTGTGCCGCTTGTTGCATTAATTCCTAAAAATTGTGTATTAATTTTGGTACGCAAAAATTTAATAAAAATGTGAATTTTTGTCCCATCCCGGCTCCTGGGCACCCTAC